CTAGACAGGCAGATCGAAGTGATCTCTCTCTCGTTTAAGGCATATATCCAGTCTGACTCAGTTCAGAGAGCCAAATCTGACTGCCTACTTGTGAGAACTGGTAATATTTTAACTCAAATATGCAGTTTGCACCTTTCGAGGTGGTGAAATTTCACTACAGCTTCCTCTGGAAACCGAAATTATTCCGACCACAAAATCTGATCTACCTGATATTTTCCTTTTACGTCCCCAGTGCTGGAACACAAGGCTTCAAGCTAGAGCCTTGAAGTTTCGGTAGCAGTAGTGTTTATTTTTACGGGATGTGGTTGCTAGCCTCATGCTCAACCTTCCTTCTTTACCAGTCTTAAAACTGGGTTAGCGAGGTTTGGGAGTGTGTCGACCGGGAATCGAACCCCGGATCACATGAGGCGTGGTCGGTGAGAATTCTACCGCTGTGCCACCGACGCATTATATACCCGATATCATAAATGGTAATCAAGAGAGTAAGTACAGATGCTTGATACTATACACTATTGACTAAATGACTGACATGAGTAGTTGAACACTACTCAAATCAACTAGTAGTACCATTTATGGTGTCAAGCAGACCACATATTCAGGTTTGAATACTTTCAGTTTGCAAATAGAAACTGGCGAAATTTCACCTCCTCGAACTGTGTAAATTGCAAATTGAGAATTAAAATGCGAATTGTGTATTTCAACACTGCAAGCATTCAAGAAAGGTTTCTTTGAAATAAATACGTCAGGCACTTAATAATCGGTGCATGGATAGCAACTAAAACAGAATTCTGGTCATTAGTCCCACTGATAGTTTTCTGATAAGATGATGCTACTTGGCAGCTAAAATAAGCACTTGTGAAGAGTAGTGTTTGAAATGACGTAACACAAAATAATTGCTTGGAACTGATCCACTGTTGTGACCATTTGCAGTCATATGAATAAATCAGAAACATGTCCATTGTTTATATCAGTGGAGAATGGACAGTGTAACATAACCTTCTGATATTCGTTGACGAATAAGTGCACGCAAAAGACAGTTAGTTCACTATGAATCTAATTCCATTTGATTGATTGGTGGATTTCATCATGAGCTGACATCATTTAGAGAACTATTGGAAAACCAACTGGGAGTACTGGACAGTTGTTTCTTGCTAGTTTATGGTCCTTCAGCAGTACGCACTCACTGGGACTGGACCAGGACTTTCTGGTTACAAGGCGAACTTGTAGACCATTGAGCCACTGGGATCCGATCCCATGACCCATGAATTCTAACTTCTGACAATTCCATTTATTAAGCGAAATAAAATATGGCACTGATAACCACTCTAAATAAGTGCAGGTGAATTTCGATTTGAGTAATGTTTAGTTTCAAAGCTTTACAATGAGAAACCAGTTGAGAAATACAGTTGTGAGACAATAATCACTAACTGACAGACAAATGATATTACAGTGTGAGTACGGTCGTTAACGAATATCAGTTATCGAGTCACCTTCGGGCTAATAGTCCAGTATATCTACCATTTAAAACTAGTCGGTTTGAATCCAATGACCTATGAGTTTTGACTTCCCTAAGTTGAAGACGATATACAGAGCCAGTGCCAGCTAGTGTCATCAGCACATATTTGTCTCCATCCCCGACAAGGTAGACCCCACTGATCGCGACTTGTCGTTGAAACTTCAAGGAGTTATATCCTGCAACGAGTCACTAGTGAGCACCGGATTCAGCTTCAAGTATTAGTTGGCAAGGATCTAATTGATTTCAAGTCAGATCATGGATTGACATCAGTTAGAAAACCATTGAAAACCAGGGATTTTATACAAATTCGGTCTTATTAGAAGTGTCATACAGGTACATGAATTATTTATAGACAGTTAAGTGAAAAGTAGAATAAGTTTGTCATACTGTAATTTATCGTTAATCTATGAATACGATTGTTCATTTTAAAAACCAGTCGCAATATTCTAGCATTTAATTTACTAAAGAATTAGGACTAATTTCAGCACAGATTTTATCATGAAACAACACTCTTTAGAGAAAGACTGAATATGAAAATGGTTTGGACGATTGGGTCTTTTTAGTTTAAGATTCCTTATCACAGCAGGCATCAAGGATTGAACAAATAGTCTTCAGGTTACGAAGCCAGTTCCTCTGATTAGAAGTACTTCTGATCAAAATCAATCAATACCATTGATGAGCACACACTTCACACATGACGAAGTGAACCCCATCGGCCCTGACTTCTCATTAAAACTTCATGACAGTAAGGTGATTTAGATTAATTTCATCGAAGATTACGTCACGAACAGGCAGCGGTTAGAGAGGCTCTAAAAAAACACGCAGTACTGGACGACTGTTTCACCCTAGTTTGGACTCAATTTGTAGGCTGAATATCCTGATTTTGATCCTCGGTAAAGCAGGGGGCTCGTGCTACGGGTTCTTCATAGACCTTCACTTATTAGTGTCGAATACAATACTGAAACTAATCAGGTCCTTATAAACAAAACATTTGAAATGAAACCACATCAGGCATATCTTCACAGTGAAATCAGGAAGCGCATTTGAGTCTGCCTCTCTTTTGACCTTAGGATTTTAACAAGTAGTACTTGTATACAGTAGAGAACTGAGTCACAGTTGCAACTGACAGACGTTTTAACTTGGGAATGAAATAAAACAAACAAATACAAGCGATATGTGATGAACTGATTAGGCTTGCAAGTATCTTAGAATTGAAGAACACTGACAGTAATTTAAATCAGTCGATTTCATTGTGTGTTTTCATGATACCTAAGTATCAGTTTGGAAGTTATTGAAAATCGAAGAGTATCTATTGGTAAACGATTTCAGGAGTACATTCTGCCATTCTCTACGCAGAATTAAAAATCAAATTCTCTAATTCTTGAGGTGATACAGTAAATTCGAAGACTGCTGTTTCGAGTCTTGATGAGACCGAGATTTTCAGTCGACATTCTGTCATCAGTTTCTACAACTGTATTAATGTGAACATACATACACGAACAAACCAGTGCGCAAACTGAGTAGCTGAACTGAAGTGTATTTGTTTCTGAAAAATAATATATAGATATATATTCAAAAGCTATATGACAATGCCAAATGTGAAGTGATTCATATTGGAGAACTGACTGATGTCTCCAAGTGAAGACAGGAGTAAGATGAGATCTCCAGGTAAAAGTCAACAGATTGACAGAAGAAACGGACAGGGAAGACAAGACTTCAAGTGAGTTTAGAAAGGACAGAGAGAATGTAGAGATCTAACCAGTAACAAGAACAACGAGTACCTATCACAAACAAGGGAAGAAGTTTGAAGGAAGTCACTCCTCTCACTCATCTTGGCGGCATCGTGTCAGATATAGTTGGCATGGATGACGATGTCTAAGGCAGGATCGGAAAGGCAAGAGAAATCTTCATTAGTTCCAAGTCGGTTTGTAAATCTCCTGCACTAAGCATAAAGAAAAAGACTCGAATTCTTAATACTAATGTCAAGTGAGTGCTTCTATCTGACTTATAGGTTTGTCAGGCGTTTTATCGAAAGCATTTCCAGCATTCTGTTGCAGGCTCTTATCAACAGTTGACTTCGCTTCATATGGAAGACCAGAGAGCTGATCAGAAAGGATAAGCAACAAGGAACTCTAGCAACAGACAAAACTAGAATCAACCGCCCAACCAGCATGGATACATTGGATACACACTGGCTGAAGAGTTGCTGAATGACATCACGTGCAAGGCTCTCAAGTGAAACCTAAATGAGAAACTATGCGTTGAACGTGGGTCCGAGGATGATATGGAGGAGTCTGTGTGAGGTAGAGATCAGAGTTTATGGGCGAGCATGGAGACAGCTGAAGAGGACTGAATAGAACAGGATAAAATGCAGATGTGCTGTTGAAGCCCCATATACCACTTGTTACCTATGGGAATAATAATGTAATGATATACTCAGCTTGAAGGATCTGGATTTCGCAGATGATATATGTCTGATTTCTCACAAACTGGGAGATATGCAAGTGAAAATCAACAGGTTGTCAGAAGAAACATCAAAGATAGGACTTCAAGTGAACATTGAGAAAACGGAAGTGATGAAGATTCCCGGCCAACAGCAACAACAAACAACAATCAGCATAAATGGGAGAAATTTGAAAGAAGCAACCTTCTTTACCTACCTGGGAAGCATCGTTTCAACTACAGGCGAAAGAAACTGATGAAGATATCAAAATGAGGATCAGGAAAGGAAGGCAAATTTTCATTACCCTCAAGTCTGTGTGTAGATCAATAGCACTCAGCATGAAAAATAACATCCGGATTTTCAACTCCAATATGAAGTCAGTGTTACTTACTCTACGGATCAGAGTTGGCGCGTCGCGAAGGGCACTTCGAACAAACTTCACACCTTCATCAACAGTGGTCGTCGCTCAATACTCAAGATCAGATGGTTGACTAGAAAAGATCACCAACAGAGATCTCTGGCAATGAGCGAACCAATTCAGCAGGAACCGATTGTGCAACAAATACGCAAGAAGAAATGGAGGTGGATTAGCCATACTCTGAGAAAACCATCCGGTGAGTGACATCGCACGCCAGGCTATCGCTCGAGCGGAACCCGAACGCGAAGCGGCGAGTTGGTGGTCACTGCGAGGGTGGTATGGAGGAGGTCATGAGAAAAGGAGAAGAAAGCATATGGGCAAACTTAGAGCCAGGTGAAAACGTTGGCGGAGAGCCGAACGCAATGGAGGCGTGCGGTTGAAATCCTATGTTCCTCTAGGAACTAAAGGAAAAATAATAATATACTCAGCACTTTGTATTGAAGTATGTTAAAGTCATATATATATATATATATATATATATAAATTCCTGTTAGAAAGGTGCTTATAGGCCTCAGAAACCCATCGTCACAGCAGAATACATATTTGAAAACTTTTTCAAACTCCAAAAACGGCAAACAGTCAATAAAGAAAAATTATCAGGACAAAAAAAGGAATTAACTTACTTCACTCCACAGTGGACCGTCACTGGTGTTATTGTTCTCCGTTGGCAATGTTGTCGTTGTCATTGTTGTTGTTATTACTGTTTCCATCAATGCTGTTTCCTCTGTCACAATTAAAGTATTTTCAAAGGTTGGTTGTTGAGTTATCCGCCATTTAGTCTCATCATTGTAAGCGATCTCATCAGGATTTAAATTAGCCATGGTTACAGTTTCAAATTATTCTTCTTTGTTTTTACTTTTTTAACACAAGATATTATCCGTAAAACATGAATAAATGAATAAATATATAACTGATTTTTCTAACGTTACGTGTGTATCTTTTAAATTTTCGAATATAAAAAAATTGTCACTTCAATTTAAAGTTTTGAATTTTGTGTGTGTGTGTTCGCCTTTTTCAAAGGTATAATGCGCACTTATCAAAATGGAACTGGGTATAATTTTATTGCACTCAAATTTTGAATCGGATTTATATATATATATATATATATATATATATATATATATAATTGTAGACAGACATTATCGGGAAGCTTCTGATTGGTCAGTTCATACATGAATATCGATTTTCGCAAATCATATGTCATGCGTACATGATTTGAAAATATTACTTTGAATATAACATATATCCTTTCCAGATTGTCTCTATTTTTTTTTATTTTGTTTGTTGTTTCAGCTTTCATATTTTTTGTGTGTTTTTCAAAGACGAAGTGTTAAGTGCGGTGAATTTAGTTTTTTTTAATTTGCCTTGAACAATTCTGTGAATTTGAGTGTTCCTTCGATTTTCTATTTTTTTTTGGTTTTTTGATGATACGCTTTCTTTTTGAGCATATGTGTGTGATCGATGTCTTCAAGTGGAGTTGTCTTACACCTGCATCTTTTTGTTGCTGCTTATGTGTGTTTTGGTAATTGAGATTGGATTATAATGCATTTGTTTCAGGGTGGTGACACAATGGTAGAAATTTTGCAAGGGTTTGGATTCCATTCCCGACTAACGCACTCCAATACCCCACCTATTTTAAGAGAAGAAAGTAAGCTCAGAAAAGAAGGAAGGTTTGGGGACATGTGGTCAGCAACCCAACCCTATAAAAAACAACATTACTATTAGAAATTTAGAGCTTTGTGTTCCACTGGATACAAAAGGAATGAAGAAAATAATCCTTCTTTTATATGACTATATATGTATAACCGCCGTTGAAATAAGTCCATCATATTACTTCTTATTTGATTATTTTGATGGGTAAGATGGGGGGGGGGGAGGGCGGAGAAAATGTAATCTCGACTTGATTCCCATCGAATATAGCTAGAGGGTTTAACTTCGCTAAGTTAACAAACTACGACGTTAGACTCTTCAGCAGCACGCACCCACGACTTCATCAGGGGTCAAACTCATTTACTTGACACTAACTTTTCAGTAAACCCCATGATTTCTGGCAAAGTCATGGATGTGTATAGCTGAAAAGAGTCCCCGCTATCTGAACCATATAGAGGCACAGTATCAAGGCTTCTTCTGATTTATTTTTTAAAGTGTTAAACTCTACCTAAAATTTACCTTTGGCAATAAAGGTCATATTACTGGGAACATCCATCTGGGGCAGTTACTGAGGCTTTTCATTAGTATATATATGTATATGTGCATCGGTGGCACAGCGATTAGGATGCTCATCGAGCATGTTCATGGTCCGGAGCTCGATCCTTGGCCGACGCACTCCTTTACCTTGCCAGTAATAAAAGTTGATAAATAGGAAAGGTTGGGCATGAGGCTAGCAACCCTATCCTGTAAAAATAAACACTGCTAAAGAAACTTCAAGCCTCTAGCTTCAAGTCCTGTGTTCCACTGGGAACGTGAGGGAATAATATATATATATATATTCACGAATTATAGCACTTAACTGAGTGTAAACTCATGTTCCAACTGAGAAAGTTCCCTCTGATGATTACAAATAGACATGGACTTCTCCCTTTATTCGGAACATTACTGAGGTGTTGTTTGACAATGTTTCACTTTTTTAATGTTATTGTCACCATTACTGCTAGCTCAGATATCCATAACAATACTGTATACGACAAAGAAGGTACTTCATGGTTGTTGCTGGTCAAATGAACTTCCTTTCAGTCTATGTAATCGATCAGTAACATCGAATTAAATGTGTCACAACATACGTGACCTGCTTGATGAAAATAAATGGTAATCAGGAAGACAAAAAAAAACAGCAAGATAGTATATACTACTGATTTATGAGCAATTAGTAATATGTTTCCATTTGGTTTTCTTTACTTCAGCCATCTTGTTTTCGATATCGCTAGCGGGGATTTTCATATTCACTTGCTATTCACTTATTTATCTCCTACTGAAAACTATTCTGTAGATATTGACTGCGATTTTAATAAAATCCATTCTAATAAGGGCTGGAGAAGATTTGTACCGCTGCTGGATGATATTCTCAGAGGTTGTTTGGATAGTTCAACTGTGTTGTGTTCTTTGAGGTGGTTGATTTTATTGCGAAGCCAAAATCAAAGATCACAAGAAAATTCATTCTACCACATATATGAAAAAATATCTCTGAAATAACAGCTAGAATATTAAAACAGTTTGAAATAGATATAGCACACAAGCCAGCCAGGCAACACAATCACTTCATTTGATATTGTGCAAACCAAAAGATCCAACAGAAAAAAGAAGATAAAATTGACACCATTTACAAAATAGATTACATGCATGAACTGCAATAAACATTACACTGGTCAAAGTGAGCGTCCCCTTCGAATCCAAATCCAGGAACACAAATCAGTTGTGAAAAGACATCAAATATATTCTTTCACATAAATGCTAGTAGACAATTATGGACACCAGTTTGAGTGGGATATTAGAGAAATTTTAAACGGAGAAAACACCAAAAGTGCCAGGGAATTCCTAGAAGCGTGGTACTCGAGCGAATATGCGATAAACAAACAAGTAAATATAGACCAAATCTACCAACTAATAAAAAGTATATCATGTGAGGAGTAAGTTCAGAATCAAGTCAATAAAAAACGATTAATGGAGGCGTAAATTAACAACCAGTCACGATAATGGTTGCCAGGAGATACAGGAGATACATCATTCATGGGGAATTGAAATAGGTCCTTTTTATCCCAAAACCTGCGCTGAAGCAGTGTTGTCCAGAAGGACGGTGAACACAACTAATTTAATATTATCCACCTGAGCTACAAATCTCCATTACGTGTGAAGCTTTCATTGTCTGACTTTAATTTCAAGTAAGCGCTGAGTTTGTTGTCTAGGCAGACAATAGAAGGTACGCAATTAAACTATTTAACTTAGATAATACAAATACACGAAATACATTCCTACCCACTGAATATACAACACGATATTATTGATCTGACTGGTTTAAACCTAATCAAAAATTACCTGAACGAAGTGAAGGTCGTTGAAATTATTAGCAACACTGAAATGTCTCACACATTTATTCTTATAAGAATGTTACCAATGTGATGTGTGATTCACCGGTTAACAGAACGCTGAGTCGGTGTTCTTATTTAAAATTCAAAACTGAGTCAACAAATAAACAGTACAACTAGCGTAGAAACAAGAAAAACAATTTTCGCATTACAAAGCAAAACATCATAAAAAAAGCTTTTTCGAGAAGTCAATTACAATGTGATGATGACTATAAACTTTTTCAATTAGTCCTTTTGAAAACACTGATGGAAAGATGAAGCTTTGTATATTCATCTTCAAGTAACAATAAGAAAGAAATAATGACTGAACGATATTCAAACGTTAGATTTGTGGAGATTATGGTATTATGCGTTCAAACCTAATTCATATTTAACAGTTTGAAAAAATTTGGGCATTGAGGATATAATTAATACTCATTGTTATAAAAGCTTTCGTAATTCTCAATGAATGAAAAACGAAATGATATTGTTTTTACTGACGTTTAACTATTTAATGGTGCTTATGTCTTCATAAAAGTATTATTAAACCAGAATTTACAAATTTTTTCTTAGTTCATGGAAAATCCTCGTTCGAATATTAATAGAGAGAAGACCAATAGTTCACCGAAGGGTTCCTTTTCAGCGAATTCATCTTCCACTTTAGCTGTACGATGGCAAATATATGTGGGTTATTTGGTATGTATGTGTACATTAAATTTGTCAAACAAAAATACAACTAGTAAGTTTTGTGTGGAGTTACGCAATACAAAATGTATTCAGAGGAATTGGATGTTGATATAAGAGGGTAGTAACACAAGTGATGAGTTGTCACAAACGATTGTTAATGAGGAGTTACTTGATGACATGAATAGTTTGATGAAAGAGTTGTGCTCAGGGCGAACATAGAGACAAAACAAAATACGGAAGTATGCAAGAGTTCTCAGGAAATACAGGAGTTGTAAGTAGTTATAAAATCAAGAAGACAAGCAAAAGTTAAGTCAGATCAACAGAGTTGTTACCATGATAGTAGAAGTGGCTGAACAATTTTCTTTCGTGTGCATAGTTCTCGTTCTTCTAAATGAATGGCTAGAGCTTCTACAGTGCAAAGAAGACGGAAACGTATTGTCTTTGGCAAACCAATGATTTTTGCAGACAATCCAAGATCAGAATCGTCTTTATTCACTCAAACAAAATCTCAGTCGTAAAACAAGACATTATCAATGTATTGCACAACCACAAAAGAGAAGCATTATAATTAGAGAATAAACAGGAACAAAGCAATTAATGAGGATCAAATCAATATGAGATGGGCAAATGTCAGGACAATGATATACAGTCTGTGAGAAAAATAGATAAAAATTAACAAATAACAGAATTTTATCATGAGGTGACATTGGTTAGAGAACCATTGGAAAACCTGGGATTACTGGGCAGCTGTTCTCTCCGTCCTAGTTCGGGACTCTTCATCGGTACACACCCACTGCCAGGGTTCGGATCCAGGAGTTCCTGGTCACAAGGTGAGCGACATCATGGACCATTAGGCTACTGGGCCCCTATCAAATGATCCATTAATTCCAACTTCAACAAATTCAGGACATAGCGTGACCACTAGTCAAGGTCTTCGGCGAGTATTTGTCCTGGTGGGAAGTCGCGATATGTCGTGAATTGGTAAACGTTGGAATTCATGGTCCATTTGGTAGGGGCCCAGTAGCTTAATGGTCCGTGAGATCGCTCGCCTTGTGACCAGGAACTCCGGGATCCGAACCCTGGCGGTTGGTGCGTACTGGTGAAGAGTCGCAATTTAGGACAGAGGAAACAGCTGCCCAGTACTCCCAGTTGGTTTTCCAATGGTTCTCTAACCTATGCCAGCTTATAGTGGAATCCTGTAACCAATCAATCAAATCCCTACAAACCAATACTTGAATTACAAATTTAGTTGAAATATTCAAATAGGTACAATTATTGTAGTCAGATCGTTCAGGAAGGGTTTTTAAACAGTTTGTCCGTT